AATGGATGTACACAAAAAACTGTCCAGACGAGTCTGTGACAAGCCACAGGTTGAGGTAAGTTGATTCTTTAATGCATCCTTCAGTTGAAAATCAGACTTTTGATGTGGCTCTGTATTTTCTGAAACTTTCAAAAGTGAATCTAATGGAGATATTATCATTTTAAACATGTGGTATCAAAAAAACATCAAAGTATCCCAACTTTTGACAAACCTCGAAGAATGTCACTTGTATATAGTGTGCTATTTTCACACATTAATGTTCCAATTCATAGTAATAGTGCTGTTGAATGAAATAATGAACGGATGACTACCTGATGAGCTTGGATGCGTTGGATGCTGCTGGTGAAGTCAGAGTAGAGGTGGAACTTGTCAATGTCTATGTTTTTGTTTTGCTGGGCCCCCGGTTTTCGTCGGCTCGGATCAGTCTTCTCCTGCTCTTTTCCCTTTAGTGCGGACTTGGACACAGATGAATGGATGGTCACAAAATTGTTCTCACACCTGACACAGCAAGAGAGACATTCAGAGAGAGTCAATTGAGTGTGAAATACTTTGATCCCAGAGAGACAGGGTTACAAAGAAAAATAAACACTGTGTGCATGTGGAGGTTCTCACAATGTTTTTACATAGGTGAGTGTCTCCGGGTCTTTGGCGATAATATCAGCCAAGATATGCTCCACACCTGTAGCCACTTCTTCCACCGATGACAGACCTGTCACATAAACACAAATACTGTAAATCAAAACAGTTCTATTGAGACTTTTAATGAGCTTTATATATCTGCAAGTAGAAATTTAATTTCAACAGGGTGTTAATAAATATTTGATAATTAAATATGATTATATATTTGTGCATGAATGTGTGTATAAGTCTGCACATCTAAACCATTTGAATAAAAGCAGAAAAAACATGACCTCTGAATTTAAAAATTAATCTCACACAAGAAAAGGTCAACAAATCCAGAGAGCAATCGTGCTTTCAGAGTTAATTCACATTTACTGTCTACAAAACTCCCCATTTTGAGTGTGTGTGCTCATCTCTTACCTTGAGTATCAGGTTTTACCCATGTCTGCATATCCAGAGTGTGAGGTGTTTCCATCAGAGCAGTGGCAGCCACCTCAAGGCCAAGGGCTTTGGCTTTGCGAGCCTTTGTAAGCTTACTTCCTTTTTTATAGGGAGAATACTACAGACAAAGGCAGAAGCATGAAAGGTGTAAGAGACTTGTTCAGGTGTAAAGAAATTATGATTAAAAATGACACTGCATCCAAAATTTTGATCTCAAATTAAATTAATGGAATTAAAAATGTGATTCTGACCACATGATCCAGATCATCAGCGGATCGACAGCTCCTCAAGTTTTGTTCCAGCTCGGTTGTCAGAACTCCGTCTTTCTTCAGGGTCTGAATCACAGACTGGGTCTTCTTAGCCAGGGCGCTGAAGCAAAACACACACACACACAAAAACAAAGAAAAAATTATCAAATTAAAAAAATTAAAACATACACACAGAAGATAAAATTGTGCACATGTAAAACAATTACACACGAAACTGATTCAGGATTTAAAGCTTGAGCACGAGCACCATCTAGTGGCAAAAGTCTGGAAATGACCCCAGTCCTGCTCAGCTTATATGAGAAAAAAGATTGAATGGCTGTTGCTGCTACATGAAACAATTGTGCTAGCAAATTAGTGGATGAAAAATGTGTTTTAGTGTCTTTTCCTTCTGGTTTGACTGAAGATGTTTCCTACCATAACCCCTCAAATACCAGCTGGACGTCCCGGACTGCATCAGCATCCATATGGTTTATCATCTCTTTGCGGTAGCGCACCATGAACGGCACTGTGTTCTCCTCCCGGAGCAAACCAATGATATTTACACACACCCAGTTCTCCACACAGGTCATGGTGGACAGCAGCTGATGGTAAAGACATGCAGACAGTACAATGATACAGCTCTTTGCCCATTTTTAATATGCAACACTGCTTCAACCATGTAACAAAAATATAGACTAACACTTAACACATAAAACCCAACAGTACCTGTGGTAAGTTCCAGTTCATATTGAGCTCATTCCTAAGAGCTTGTGCAACTGGCAGTGGTAAATCAGTCGGTCGTCCTTGGGAGGCACTGCTGGTCTTCTGCTTCTTTAGACAGGGCTCATCAAATGTGAAATCCTCATCCTCTACTTCCTCTTTCTTTGCTCTGAGGCCAGCAAGTGATGACCCCTCATTTGCCCACCTGTCTGCCTCATTGGCTTCTGACACAATAAATGACAACCTCTACAAAACAAGAAACAGAAAGATACAACTGAAACTGAACTTTAAAAGGCTCAAAAAATAAAAAATCCAATATTGGATTATTATTGGCTATCAACTTTGTTGAAAAGTAACATCAGCCTATTTCATCTACTTGCTGGCATGTGTATTTGAGTATGCATATATCCATACATACTCTTACACCTACCTCATCTTTCATTCTAATACTCGGCCCACTTTCTTCAGCCCTCCAACCCCCTGTGCTTTCTCCTTTGTCTTCTCCAACCTTAGTTCCAGCCAACCCAGATCCACCAGAAGCCTTAAGCGCTGCAGACACCCGTGGTTTTCGCTCTGCTGCAGGTTTGCGTGGTGCCCTTGGCTTAGCAGCTTTAGGCTCTTTAGGCATTTTGGGAGCTTTTGGTTCTTTGGGTGGTTTTGGCTGCTTTGGTTTCACAGCTCTCTTGGCAACTGCTTTCCTCCCCCCTGCAGCAGGGGCGCTGGCCGTCTTGCTGGGTGCTTTCGGCTTTGGCTCAGATGGAATCCACTCCACACTGTCCTCATCACTACTGATTATCTGGCTAGATGACCTGAGGGTAGAGTGTGAACAACAGAAAGGAAAATCAGTATTACTCCAACAGGTTCTGGCCCTTTACCATATTCAGTACTTTTTTTCTCAGGTAGTGGGAGGCTTTGGCTCAGGTACAACAGGTCGTCCACTAACAAGAGGGTGTGTGGTTCAATTCCCGGCTCCTCCATCCCACATGTGAAACTGTCCTTAAGCAAAACACTGATCCCCAAATTGCCCCTGATGGCTGTACCGGCAGTGTGTGAGTGTTGTTTGACATAGATGCAGTGTATGAATGTGTGCATGTCAATGGCAAAACTGTATTTGTATATATATTGATAGATAGATAGATAGATAGATAGATAGATAGATAGATAGATAGGAGACCATTTAACTGCTCTCATTAAAACTCTTAAAGGTTTAGGCTACACAGTTTTATTTATATTGTATCATTTATACTAACATAGCATATGCATATATACATTTCCATCCCAACAGTGAGGATAGACCTCAAGCTGCCCCAGAGACCCTGGACACACAAATTATATTTAACATTAAATGGATTATCCTTGGAAAAAACAACTGCTATGAATGAATGAACACAAGTCACTTACAGGTCAGAGTCCATGTCTCTGTACTGTTCAACTTTGCAAGTTGTTGTTCGGGGTCTTCGCATCATCTGTGAGAAAAAACAAGTGCAGTGACGAAGCTGAACATTAAGGTTGTAGCGTTAAAAAGTAAGTCACATTATTTAGTGACCATTTGGGATACAAGCATTTATAACGTGACATGAGGCTCCTACACTGCGACACTGGACTTTTAATCACGTGAAGCTCCGACTGCTTCTTGCCTCGCTGATAATGTCCATGATAGAAATAACACCGAGGTGTTGTTAGCGTGCTAGCATCAACAGGTGCAACTTATCCCACAGCTAAGCTAGCGTTAGCAACATGCCACTAACCAACAAACTGGAATCGAACAGAGAAGAGAGCAGGAACCTGTTATCGATGCTAACTCTATCAGTTCCACACTGACCGTGGCGGAAAAGTATAAATGTTTGCTAGCTATGCTATCGCGGGGTTAGGTTAGCCGCTATTTCAAATTTGCCGCTTCACGCTGACGCCGGCAGAGTTATCCGGTTAACCGGAACCACAGCTTCACATGTTCACTGATGTCTGTGTTTACTCGCACAGTGTGAAGCGTGTTGAATTACCGCTTTACCTTTATGTCGCTTTAAAGACTGAAATTGTTTGAAGACATTCGCAGCCGCCGTGTCTCCACTTCCTGCAACATCAGGGTTCAACCAATCACAACGTCCGGAACTCTTAAAGGGGAAGTACCTCCTTTTTTCATTAAAGAGACCGCGCTTCTGATATTTTCAAACTAAAAACTTAGATAAAAACTTTTCTTCATTAATCTGGTGATTCATTCTTCCTCAGTGAAAAACGTGGCGTTAGGGTCTATAATCAGTCTGTGATGCAGGGATTTATACATTCTAAACTGTGAGATAATACCATACAGTCTATGGATAATACATATAATTCTATATCAATAGCAAAGTCCCTTAAACCTTCAAACTGATATTAGTTTATTATTCTGAAAATGACAAAACAATCAGTCGATTCAACCAATTAGTGTGAATTAATATAAATATATTAATATCTGTATAAACTGCTCCCTGGTAACAGATGATGCAGCAACATTAGCTGCCAATCAGAAATTCAGATGAAACCAAATCCAGACAGATTCATTTTAAAAGAGTGAGTTTCCACACCCATCACTTTCAGTTCCTCCTGCTCTCCACATACATAAAGGTAAAACCCCGCACCATTCTGTTATTGATATTAAAACAGCGAACAGCCTTTCCTGCAAGAAAGAAGGTATTTGTTGTGTGTGTGTGTGTGTGTGTGAGTGTATCTGTCTTGTCAGTATGTTCCCTCTGTTGAAACACATTTTGTGATTGTGTATATCTGTGTGTTTACAGGTTTTTGTGAAGATGTCAGAGACCCAGACTCTACTCGGGGCCCCCAGGCAGCAAACAGCAGTCGATGTAGGAGCACCAGCTCAGGGGTAAGGGTGTGTGAGAGAGAGAGAGAGAGAGAGAGAGAGAGAGAGAGAGAGAGAGAAGATGGTGAGTTTATTAGCTGTAGATTTATCTAATGGGTTTAACATCAATTTATTACAGAATGTTAATGTCAGTTTGTCAAATCTAATAAAAGAGAAAGGACACGTCACCTGAATTAATGTTTTTTTTAAAGGTATAAAAAGGGGAAGTTAAAAAGGGAAATGGCATTTTTACTGATATGCAAATTTCCTAAACTTTCATCATGTCTGTTTGGCCACAACAGATCTCATTGTTCTGTTGGTGGTGACGAGCACAGATTTCCTAATTTCTACAAACCAAAGTACCTCTGCTTCCCCCACTTATGATCTACTTCCCCCTCTGTCTCTCCCTCAATCGATATGACGTCACTGGCAATTAATAAATATCAGTGTTTTCCCACTTTTTGAATCTGCAATCATTTACAAATAAATAATCAGAGAAGTCAACCAGGTTTCCATCCTCAAACTGTATCAATGGCTCCTTTTTATTCTTCATTTCATCCCTCACACTCATCTTCCACTGCCTCCTCACCTTCTCCCTCAAATCTTCCTCCTCTTTCCTTCTTTTACAGTGGTCGTTCCGCCAATGCCTATAAGGTGGTAGGTTTGACCGTGCTGGCCTGTGTCCTGGTCATGAGCCAGGCGATGATCATCTACTTCCTCGTCAACCAGAGAGGTGACATCAAATCTCTGGAGGAGCAGCATAGCGGCCTGAATGAACAGCTGACGAAGGGAAGATCTGGTGAGGGGAATGAATTAGTCTTAGATTAAAAACTGTGGGTTTTAAATGTATGTGACAAAACAATGGGCTTCATGTGTCTAAAAACTGATGAGCAGATAAAAAATTAAATATTCAGACAAAATACTGGAGACCTTTACTTTAAGATAAGTAAGTCAAATAACAAAAAAACAAAGGTTGTGACAAAGCGTGTTTCTCCCAGAGACAGAACAGCCAGTTATGTCAGTGGAAAGGAAAGAACATGTCTATTTCTGTTCGACCTCTCACACACACTGTTTCTCTTTCTGTCTGTAGCTTCCATGTCGATGCAACTCCCTTCGTCCTTTCACTCCTTGACCTTTGACGAGGTAAAACAGTGCAGTCCTGGATTTCTGAGGCTGAAATTAATATTTAACACTCCTGTTGTGATATATTGGTGAATCAACATAATTCACCCTGCAAACCCACAGATACTGATCATAGCAAATATGATCCAATACATTATATCTGTTAAATTCAATCGCATCAATTCAAAAATTAATATAGCGACAGTTTATTTTTTTCTTATTTCTTTAGTGGAATGAATCCAGTCTAATTCTTGTACATTCAAATCAAGATGTGGGTGTCATGTTCTTCTAAGTTCTCTTTTTTGTTTCACTGATTTTATTGCAGAAGTCGTCCACCAGGGCACCAGAAGAAACTGGTATGTCTACATCAAATATTCACACACACACACACACACACACACACACACACACACACACACATCTTTTTGAATATTAAATTTCATTTAAATTGGTTACAGTTAGAGTTGTATATTTATAACAAAGCTCCTTATTTTTAATTTCACAATGTTTTTGTAAGACAGAGCTGATTTAACTCCTCTCCTCTCCCAGGCCCTCCACAGGCCACCCAGTGCCAGTTGGAGGCTGCTGGTGAGAAGCCTGTGCAGGTGCCAGGTCTCCGCCCTGACTGCGATGAGCGCGGCCTGTACCGGCTCAAGCAGTGCTTAAAGCACCGGTGCTGGTGCGTAAACCCAGCCAACGGAGAACAGATCCCTGGATCACTGGGAAAAGAAGACGTCACATGCAACAAAGGTGTTCACTCCGGTGAGACAAGAGAACTAGTCACAAAGTCAGCTTGAGTAGAGAAACATCATTTCAACACAATGAACTATACAATTTATATATAGTAGGTTGAATAAATGGAAACAAACATTTATATAGTGTATTTTCCCATCACTTAATCATAATGGAAGCTCTGTTTCATAGAAAAATAAGATGGATTCACTAGTACCACATACATGTTGTTAGAATTTTACCTTCCACATTGCTTGGATAAATACTGAATTTATATATATATATCAGAAATCTTTAGAGAAACTGCAGAGTCATTTAATTAAACCATGGACCATTATATAGAAATGTATTATTATATGATATATTCTTTTATTTATTACATTATACTTTCTTGTATGTAGATTAGGATTCTTTAGGAAGCCAGATTTAAACTGCACTGTTGTTGACAGTCAAACATCTGTCTTTGTAGTCGGCCTGGACAAAGTGCTCTAAGTGCCACATGTCGACATCTGATACTGTGGTGAGTACACGTATGATGTTGCTCATTCACTGTGTGTGCTTCCATATCTAAACACTGTAAACATGCTTAATACAAAAGAACATGTTTTGAATTATGTTTCCTGTTTTCAGATTCTCAGGTCATTGAAGCTGATGAAATCTTCAGATCAGCAACATGATGACGTGTCACAACTTTTAATCAACATCATTTAATATTAAAATATCTTTTTAAGTTCCTGGCTGATAAATTACAAAATCATAACCATTCATCAGCTTATTTACTCTTTTTATCTGCGACCAAAATTATCTTTGCTATTGATGACAGAGGATTTTAACATAGCGTGTTGTTGCTCTGCAGATTAAAAAAGGTTTGCTTATCATTTGTTATGGGGTGTTGTGACATTTGTGAAGTGGAGTGACTGAAAAAGTAAAACTGAAGTGAGTAGAAATTAATTTAGTGAGAGCAAAGGGAAATTATTAATATATTTTTGTGCCTTTTTTAAGTAAAGATTTTTGCCAATTTCAAAACTTAGTCCATCCACTGTCTCTTTACATTATTATACGTAATAATGAATTATCAAAATAATGAACACGGTGACTCTGAGGACATATGGCTAAAGTTATAGGACTGAAGCAATGACTTAAAGTATTGTCACACATTTGGACACAATCAGGAACAACTGAGACAAGTGTAAACTGTATTTTCCCCTTTTATTCAAACAACACAAATAAACCTGATAAAAGACAGTTTCACTAGTTTTCATTTACAAAGTCGTGATGGAGTTTCACACTGAGTTGAAAACGTCTGTGTTGACGAACAGGAGTGAAAATCTTTGGATGAAACAGTGAAATAAAGCACAATCAACTGACCCGTCTGGCTTTGAAATCCACAGCATGTAACGGCTTAAAGTAAGATATAGAATAAAGAACAAGAGAAAACCAGCAAACACATGATAAACAGGAAATACAAAAATAAGAGCATGCAATGTAAGGACAACAACACAATGATTGTCAATAGGCACAAGTTGTTTATGTGTTCCAGTTCCTAAACATTTAGTTCGCGTATTTTCCATCACACTTTCCAGTTAAAGTAAAAACTAAAATGATCATAACCTCAGACTGAACTCGGTTTCTCATCTATGGCTTTTTGGCTAAAACTTAACACAGGTGTGACTGTGCAGATTAGCAATGTGCGTAAATGTCAATGGCAACAATACACAGTACCTCGATAAACTAATGTCATGTAAAATGTAAAATCCATCTT